TTGCAATAACTTGGAGCAAGAACAGACATAACCCTAGATTGTTTTATTTTGGTTTGTTCCAGACAGACAACCAGTAAGAATCCAATGGTGCTGGAGGGGTAAGCAATAGCATCTATAAAGCCTGAAAGCTCAATCAATGCTATTACAAACTACTGCAGAAATTTGCCTGCTGCATACAGTGTTACAGTAATTGATGACAAGCCTTCTTAATAAGGAGTCTAGTCAGAGAAAGAACATGCTGCATCAGTTCTTAAATATTGCATTATGGGCTTTCAGTAGCATGAAACAGTGGGGATGGAGGCAGTGCTGCTCAGTTGACACATCTGGCAGACAGTTTATCAGGAGGCACAACACACCTGAAACAGCACTGCTCCAGCTGCATATTCCACCAGGCTGTTGTCCTCGGGATGCATCTCGGCAGCCCCCTGTGCCCTTCAGCTTTCACTGGTCTGATCAGGATCCAATGCCTGACCTATCTCATGCCTCTTGACAGGTTTCCTGGACACAAGCCCTCCCTCTGTTAATTCTTTGCAGAAATGGCACCCTACAGTCCTGTGTCTCTCATCCCTTCCTTCCTCAGCTGCTCCTGCCCTCTCTGTTCAGAATTCCCTTAAACAGTTAAGAAATGATCAGCAAGACAAGCCTGGATGAGTCCCACCTTACAGGGAGGCTCAGGTCAGGAGCGCATGCTGAGGAGTTGGGCTTTACATTAACTGGGTTAAGCCAAGCATACACCAACTGTACTGCTAAAGTATTCATGGATTTGTGCTTACGTTACATAAAAAGAATAAGAGATTGCACTTTGAGAAGCTGGTGCTGTACACAGACACCATCCAGGCTCTTTCCCTCTCTGTCACCCAGTTAACTGTACAAGTGACAGTGCACTTTGCAGCCTTGGTTCACTTTCATACCAGGTTGACCAAGCCAGCTGAGCTAGGAGCAGTCTTTCAGAGACCGCATGAAAAAGCTGGTTTCACAGGGCTTCACCCTTTTGATTTTCTAGAAGTGGACCATCAGACCAGATCAGAAGCTATCCAGATTTAATGACTGCCCACTGTCTCATCAGTGAAGATTTCATGGCAGTTCAACTGACAAATGCCTGACTCCATGTATCCTAACATACAACAGGTTTCATGCTCACAGAATAATTCAGGTTGGAAGGGACCTCAGGAGGTTTCTAGGCCAACCTGCCACTCCAGGCAAGGCCAGCTATGAGAACAGACCAGGTTGCATGGGACTTTATCCAGCTGCATTTTGAAAACCTCCTCCAAGAACGAGGACTGTACAGCTTCTCCAGACCCTTGTTCCACTCCTTGGCCGTCCCCACCAAAAAGCCTTCTCCTCATACCCCATTTAAACCTCAGCCTTCCATCTATGTCTTCTGTCTCTTGCCCTCCTGCCACTCAACTGAACAGCCTGGCTTTGTGTTCTTTATAAGATGCTGTCTAGGAGTGCCAAGTAGAGAGGGCAATCACTTCAATCAGTCTACTGGTTCTGCTCTTGTTATTACAGCCCAGGATCCTGTTGGCCTTCTTCACTGCAGGGACACACCACCAGCTCATGGCCACTGTGATGCCTACCAGAACCCACCAGGGGCTTTTCTGCAGACCTGTCCCCCACCCACTCAGTCCCACCTAGGGAATCTTCCTTCCCTGAAGCAGGACTTTGAATTTGTCCCTGTTCAACTCCATAAGGACCCCAGAGGGTCAACCCCTTTCTTCAGCCTTAGGGAGGCCCCACTGAACAGCAGCCCAGACCTCATGTTTATTGCCTCTCATCCTTGCTCTCCCCATCCCAGTTGGGGCTGTTCACAGCTCAATACAGATGCCCCCATCTCCTCCAGGTCAACAATAAAGACATCTAACAGGGCAGATGCTAGGACATACCCTGCAGCAACTTCACTTGCCACTAGCCACCAGGAATTATCTCAATTGGGAATTCAGAGACTGAACATAAGCCTCAGAAGCATGAGCAGAGGGTCAGGAGCGGCCACTGGGCTCCCTCAGCTCAGGGTGGCCACAGACCTTAGTGCCTGAACTGCCTGAGCACCAGCAGCCAGTACCTCCAGAACCAGGGCTGGAGGCAGCAAGAGCAGAGAAGCTCTGGCTACAATAGGAAACACCTTCTCAGGAAGCTGTAAGAAACACTGATGCTTCTTGTGGGACTCTTTATAAGAGTGAGGTTATCATTGATGTTTGCCAAGATGTTCAAGGCATGTGCCAAACCATGCACCATAGCAAGCGGAGCTCTGGGCAAAGTAGTCATGACCACACTTCTGCTTTCTAAAGCCTTGACCATCTTGCCATTTTAAAGATGACATCCTGGTCACTACTCAAAGCAGACTCAAAGCTAAACAACTGACTCACAGTCACTGTCCCAGGGAGGAGAGGTCACCCCAGGGGATGCCTCGGAGGGGAGAGGGACCAGGAGCAGCCAGGCATCATCCCACAGAAACGAGCATCTTCATCTTCTCCCTCTCTCCACAAAGCACTGCTGTAATGATATTCCCAGGAGGAAGAATTGTTGTTAATAATTAAGAGTTACATGTTCAGACAAGCACTACACTGCAGTGTCATGCATTGTTATAGCTTTAAGAGGATGTTTGTTCAATTATTTTTTCTTTTTTTTTTTTTTTTACTTCTCAGAAAACTCAGTGGAGGGATCACTCCATCATTCAAGAAAACTAATAAGGTTCAAATTATGCTTCAAAGCTTTTTCTCTCCTCTTGATTCATGACTCTGCCTGGACAAGTCACCCATGAAAAGTAGTAAATCTCTTCTGCTGTTTATAGTAAAAATTTACCACGTTCAGGCTTTACTTTCAATCACTTCTGAACTACTACTTCACACAAAATAGGGAGTGCTGATCAATAAGCCTGGTATCAGGGCCAGCAGGCATGGGCCAAGCAAAGAAACAGAATATGAACAGAAGAGATTTTGTATTATTCTCAAGCTGACAGTAAACTGTGTAACTCAATGATAAATTGTTACCATATGCATACCCCGCAGCACAATTCTTTTTAATTTTTTTGAATGCTGGGAAATAACATCTAATTATTGTTTAAAACAATTTAACATATTTAGGATTACAAAAGTAGATGTGACATCCTGTGCTTTTGTTTTAACAAAAAAGCTTTGTTTAACTGCCTGGCACTGTAACAGGCAGGATACAACTAATTTGGTGCTTAATTTGCTGGTTTTATCACCAGGAGAGGGCTAATGCTGTCAGGTACTCGCACCCAACACTGTTTTGCTCAAAGATCCAGCAAACCTCTTCTCTCTGCCTCACACATCACTAACTCTCCTCCATTACTCCTGCAATGTTGGGTTATGTGCCTTTGTCCACCACCTTTGCTGAACCAGAACAACTAGACACACTGAAGGGAGGAGGTGGAAAAATTACCCTTGCAGAGAGTAAAAAATACCCCACATCCCTTACTTCTTCATTTCATGTTTTTTAATTTCCTTACTGTACCTCAAATGGTATAGCAAACAGTTACAGCCCCTTTTACATTCAGCTCTGCTGCTGTATCTTGTCTCTTGTAATTCACTGTGTGTTGGCACGATTTGAGACCTCAAAATGGAAAAAACTATATTGAGCCAGAGCTGATTCCCTGCCCACACACTTGTGAATTTGCACAATTTCCCCTTCAGGAGAAATATCCCAGTTATTGAATTTGCACGAAGTGCAATAACTGAGATACTGTGCAAATGACAACAGGAGTCACATAGCTACATACCAGTGAGTCATGGGAAGGACCAGTGAAAACTCAGACTTTGGCTGAGAAATAGCAGCTTCTGAGAGCTCCATGTGGCAAACACACTTCACTCTGATGCTGTCACCTTTAAGAGCATTCAGATGTGCTTCCAAGAGTAAATACACATGGGTATGCACAAGGAAACGCACATATGTGGTATCTCAGACTGTTACACTGTTGGACGAAATTCAAGTAAACTTTGTTATTGTTAAAAGAAGGGCACTACAGCAAACATACCAAGTGGAGACACTCATCCATTGCGTTTATCAGCCAAGAGTAGCTACTGGTATACTAGAGCTAGCGGCCCAGCCCTGTCCCACCAACACAGCAGTAGGTGCTTGTGTATCACAAGACAAGCAATGGTACCACAGAGGAGATGGGAACTGGAAGAAGGTTGTGTTAAAACATCCTTACAGGAAGGCAGGTTGCCTGTGTAGTAATTCTGCAGCTTCAAATAAGGTAAGGTTTGTTTAATTTGCTACTCACAACTCATTGAGGAGATCACTGGGTGGCACTTCTATGCATGCACTGCCAGATGAACTAGTTTATGAATGAGCTGAACGTATTTAAGAAGTCCTAAGAATATCTAAAGTAAGGCTTCTGCGGCTGCGCATCCTTCACATCACACTCCAGAGAGACAGCCGGTGTCCCCTGTACATCCATACACCTCCAGCCCACACAGCCTGCAGTGGTCACACAGGGAAGGTGACACCAGGTTCAAGGGCACCCAGGCTAACACCGAGCACACCAAAGCCAACACCCAGCGGGTACAGTTACCGTAGGAATCGGCAACACACCGCCTAGCACCCAACTCAGGTTGAACGTGTCCAAAAGCGGGGTTGGGGCCAGGCAGGGCTGCAGCAGGGACACGGCCCCGCACAGCCCACTGCCCATCCGGCCCGAGTAGGGCAAGTTCACCGGGAGCCCCCACTCCCAGAAGGGATGAGTCACAGCTCACACTCGCTCTCCGAAGCAGGAGGACACCGCTCCCCGATAAGCCGGGCTCTCCCGAGGCGGCCGGAGCCGCTGCCCAGGGCCCACCGCGCCAGTCCCACCGCGGAGGGCGGCTGCCGCTCCGTGAGCGATGCCTGCCGCCGCCGCCCCCCACACTGCTCCCGCCGGGGCGGGCCCGGGGACACGCCCGACGGCGCGGCCGCCCCAGCCCACCTGCACGGCACGGGCACCCCTCCCCGGCCCCAGCCCGGCCCGGCCCCCGCCGCCCCGCTCCGTTACCGCGCCGTACCTCCTTCCTGCGGCTGGGCGCGCCCGGGCGGGTGAGGAGCGCCGTCTCCTCGCAGACCACGGCCGCATCCTCCACGAAGACGCAGTCGGGGAGGCTCTCGTCGGCCGGCAGCTCCAGCACCTGCAGCCCCAGCTTGCCCCGCAGCACGCCCACATACAGCTGGTGCTCCCGCTCCGCACGGGCGAAGTCCACCTCGGGCCCCGCCGTGCTGCGCAGCGCCTGCCGGCACAGCGACTCGGGCAGCGCCCGCACCACGGCGTGCGTGCAGCGCCCGAAGGCGCCGGGGCCGCCGCCCAGCCCGGCCATGCTGCGCGGCGGGGACGGCGGGGAAGGAGGAGGGCGGGAGCGAGCGGGGGACGGGCGGCCGCCACCGCCGCCAGCCCTGGCAGCTGATAAAGCGCCGCCCGCGGCCCGGCCGCGCCCCATTGGCTCCCCACCAGGCACATTTCCATGGGGCCGCCGCCAAGCGCGCTCCCATTGGCTGGCGGCGGCGGCCCGGCCGCGCCATTGGCCGGTGCCCCCGCCGGGCGCCGCTTACCTGTGCGGCGGGAGGGAGCGGCGGCCCCGCCCGCTGAGCCCTGAGGGGCCGGGAGCGTCCCCTGAGGGGCACGGCCTCGGGGCCTCGGCCCTCCGTGGGGCGGCCCCGGCGCTTCTCCCAGGCCTTCCCACTGGGGCTCCCTGTGCCTGCTGTGGGGCTCCGGGTACCACAGCGTGGCCCGGGGGGCAGCGTGGTTTGCCGTGGTGGTTTCACGTAGTTCTGTGTAAACGCAGGGCTGTGCTGGCAGAATTCGAACACCCGCGCCTGCCCCCATTTCTGTGCGCGGCATGGGCAGGGGGGAAGGTTGCCTGCCCCTCCAGCCCGAGGATGCCATGGGGCTGGCCGCCCACTGCCTCTCCAGCAGCGAAGCGAGAGGCCGAGCAGTTCATCCACGCAGCCAAAGGAAGAATATCTCGTGACAAAGGCAGCTCCAAAGGAAATAAGCCCAGACACTCCCTAATCCCTCATCATGGCTTTCCTCAGGGCCGCTCACCGGCAGAGCGTGTCCACCTTCTTCCACTCCTTCATGCTGACAAATTTCCCCTTCTGTGGTCCAGAAGAGGTACCAGTTTTGCTCCACCTCTGCCTCAGGGGCTGAAACAATGAACGTTTTCCACCTTTCCCCTCAAAAGAAACCCTTACTTCCCCTTTTTTCATTTTCCTCAGGTTTTATCCTGACTGGAGGTTATACCAGACGAGGGCTGGCCCTTTCTGGCGCTCACCTCTGGCATCCAGGCAGGAGGTGAACGTGGCTTTGGGCCAGACCTCACGCCATGGGAGATGCCCACAGCACTACCCTGGGTTGGGCCGCTCCTGCTGCCGCCCTCCCAGGGACAGCCAAGGAGACCTCCGAGATCTCTCCCCACCAGAGCAGACGGGAAGAGAGGAGGAATATGAATTTTCCTTCCAGCTCTTCTTTTACCTGCAAGGCTCTGCCGAGTGTCCCTCTGGTCATGGAGGGGACCCCACCAGCCCACAGCTGCGTCTTCCCCCTTCGGTGCTCAGGTGAAACCCGGGCAGCTGCCTTGGCCATCCTGTCACAGACATCAGTACATGTTCAGCAGTTGGGAATATGATTAATGACTAGCACGAAGGAAATTTCAAAGTGTGGTTTCCAAATAGTGGCCGAGTAGATCTTCATCTTCGTTTTCCACATGTTCTCCAAATATCTGGTATGGTAAAGGCTGCCTTTACTTAACGTGCAGAGGTGCCAATAACTGTCATTCACTGAATCATGTGCCAATATTATTCTCCTTAAAACAAATGGACAGGTAATTGCATTGTTATCACATAGGACATTTCAAGTTCTTGAGAAATTGCTACAAATGGTATTTTACCTTCTCTGGTATGAAGTGTGATCCTTCCACAGTCATTAAAGTCATTATTACAGATTTGGGACATGGCCGTTAGCACACTTTGGTTTGCCTTTTGGTGGTGGGACTTTTAGCCAGAAGAAAAAGAGCTAGTACCCTTCTGTAATTTAAAAAATTGTCAGGGTTCTTATCTGAAAAGGTATTGAAAAATAGTTGAGTTGCTCTTGCAGCCAACAGATTGGAAAGTTCTAGTCAATACAGATTTTTTTGACATCCTTAAACATGAATTTATAAGCAATGGCAATTTTTAGATCTCACCGAGATTACAGGAATATGAGATGTGAGGTGATGCCACACAGTCGCCTTGTACACACATGATAGTTTAGGACAGTGAGGTTTGCCCCAGAGACATTGTCACCTGCCCAGGCTGACCGCAGGTGGCCACAGCTGCTCCTTGGGAGCTGGCCAGATATCACCACTGACAGCTTCTCAATACCTTTCCACATTTTGGGAGACAAGGCTGAAGGAAGGGGGATCTCTTTATGAGATGCAGTGGTATGAGATAACGGTATGCTATGGATACAATGTGTTTCGGAAATACAAAGCATTAGTTATTTAGTAACGACTACAGTAAGGAAAAAGTCATCTGTATTCCCATACATGTATAAAATGGTGCAGTTTAAATACAAATGAAGATCTGTTTGCTGATTGTGATTGTTCTATTATTTATGTTGAACAGAAAGGCATCATTACAAATCTAGGAATAGATGCAGCCAGAGCAAAATTGTGCATATTTATAATAAGATTAACAAAATATCAGTTTACTCACAAATTAACAGTACATAATAGAATGCGTTCACAGTCTTGCAGGAGTGGTGTTAAAATTCATCATATGCAGTAATACAAAATGGGTCAGTTACAGCCATTGACACAGTATTTATTGTCTACCTTGCTCTATATCCAATATTTTCCTGTAATTTTGTCCAACTGGAGCAACTAGTGTAAAAGAGCAAAGCTGCCCCCCAGCAAAGAAAAAAGCTGTGTCACACTACAGAATTCATGCAGAATGATGAAAACCATGCTTGTAACAGAAGACAGACTGCAGACTGCTTAAGCAGCATCACAGAAAGATGTATTTAGAAAGAAGAAAACGCTTCATACAGAAAATACAGAAAAGGATGCAACTCCAGGTGTTTTGTGACTGGCACTGCACAGAGTCATCTGCTGGCAGTGACAGTGAGATGAAAATTGCTTTGCAAAATGTACTTGAGGAAGCATATGTGAATAGCGCATTCCCTTTCAGGAGAAAGGAACAGATCTTGAAAATGGAGATATGGTTTAAAAGTTATGACAGAAAGGTCATCAATACACAAAATGAAATTTCATTCATTTGACAAATTCACCGGCAGCATATCGATACAATTTTTATTTATTTTTTTTTTACAGCTGTGACTTGAGAGCAGTCTGCAGCTATGGAAAAAAGATGCCACAAAGATGAAGGGAATAATTTCCACAAAGTAGAAGGGAAGTAACAGACTTAAATTATTGCAAGGAAAAGTACAGAAAGCTTTCTAACAATAAGGAGCAGAGAAAAAGATTGCCTGGGCAGGACGTGCAGCTTCCAGAAGAGGTATTTTTAAGGAGTTAAAGAAATATCTGCCAGGAGCATAAAGCCAGAGCTGGGGAAGAAGGATGGATGAGAAGAGGTCCCTTCCAGTCCTATGATGCTATTCTCATTTTTACACTGAAAACGGTTGATAATTTTAGTGAAAACAGCTATGTAATGATGAGTCTGATGTCCCCAGTACCAAACGCACAACCTTTATGTGCACCACTAGGTGACTGCAGGCCATGGCTGGTCACTGCTGTTGGACAGTTTGTGTGACCGTGACAAAGGAGACTTTGGATCACAGCCAAATACAAACCCCTACCACATGGGGCGATTGCTCGGGTGTGCTAGATGGCTGCAAAGTCTGAACACACTTCCCATTGCTGGCAGATGCTGGAACACCACCACTGGCTCTAAAGCCTTAGTGGACATCTCTCACGCTATTAACGAAATGCTACTTGAAACTTGAGACAGTGAAAAGCCAGGACAAGGTGGTGACTGAGTCATTCGGTCACCAGCATGTCCTGCTGTGGTGGTGGGAACCCACACCAGAAAGTGGAGAGACTCAGAGTTTCACTTTTTAAAACAAATAAAAATTTGAACGATTTCTTCACCTCAATAGAAAACCGTGCAACTACTGCACAGCCAAACGCCGTTATTAATAGAAGCAAACACTGCTCTGCAAGAAAACCTCCCATTACAATCAATGGGTCATTCTCTCAGTAACGATACAGGGATCAGGTGTTACTCACACCCACAGAAGAGAAAAATGTTACTTTAATCATTATTTAGATAAATGAAAAATGACCCCAAGGGGTTTTCACCCAGATAGTTGACAGAAGTTTTAAATTTCTGCTCTAGTCCTGCAATACAAAAAACCACAGTGATTCAGTCAAGCAGTATTTTTACTAAACAATTAAGTGTCTGGGCTCCTCATTTAGAGGAGCTAAAGACATTAGGCAACAAGTCACTTCACTTAACTTCACCCCACTGCATCGACAAGCTCTGTTTTCCAAATGCCGAAGAGATTTAGTCCACCATCTATTCTTTATGTGACAGATCACTCCTGGAAGAGGAGACCAACCTCTTCTGGATGGTGTAAATCAACAGTGCATCTGCCAGGCTGTAGAGAAATCCTTCTGGGGAGCAGCCTTTTCCCTTGCCTGAGTTGAACCCGAGCTATCTCTGAGAGTCTTACCAGGGTCAGATTAATTCTATATATAGCTGGTTCAGGGGAAACACAATATTTATTTTGTCTGCTATGGGATAATGAACTGGGCGTTTTCTCAGCTGGCATTTCGCATCCTCCAGAGAAGGAGGAATTCCCATGAGCTGACGGCTACGCAGTTGTTGGGAGACAAAGCTGTCAAAGGGTGATTCTTTACAAGTCGGCTTTGGCAGCATTGTTGCCGTGACACATGGCACCAAGGAGCCTGAACAACACGCCGAGGCGCAGGGCATTCCTCACATTTATAGTCTTCCCACGTTTTTTGTTACAATGGGTTACACTAGTACAACCAGGATCAACTTTTGGATTCACTTGGCTGAGCAAGCAGATCATTGGCGAGAGAGCTGCAGGATTCTGACTTTACCTCCTGTGCTCCTGTCTCCTCCCCCTCACCATGCCTTACATCCACTTTTGCCCTTTTTTCCCTGCAGGAGAAAAGTCACTTGTTGAAGCATGGGTTGGATACCACAAGTTCTGGTGTCCATGACTAAAAAATGAGATTAGTACTCTGTGGAAATTTATGCTGAATTACAATAGTTGACGTCTCTTACAGAAAAGCGTAGAGAGACACCATTTGTTTCCCTGATGGACATACTTCCCAGAAATAGGCCAGAAATACTATGCTGGCCAGGACAGAAAGAGGAGCCAGCATTAGCATAAGTGCTTTGCAAATTGTTCTTGTTGTGGCTGCCCTGGGAAAATTGGACAAGACTTTTCCTGCTATCAGACAGCATTTTTAATAAAGTGTGCTATTTTATCAGCTTGGCAAGAAAGCATCAGCTCCAGCAGTAGAAGAGGGAAGGTGGCTCACGCCATTCGCACTTACACAGCTGTTGTTTAATGGGTCTCATGAATCCAAAACCAGTTGCTGCATCAGATGCGGCTGGTGCCCCTGTGGGCAGCAAAAAAAGGCTGCCTGAGGGAAACGGGGGATAAAGTCTTTGGTAAATTGTGGCTGCTAAACTGGGCTGCACTGATACAAGAGGAATAATGCACATGCTGGAGTTTTTTCTCCCCTTCAAGTCAAAAGCTATATATACCTTTATTCCCTAAAAAAGCAAAAGCTTCAAAACGCTGACTGATGCAGGTTAATATTTTCCAAAGAACCCAAGCCCTTTGCAGTGTAACTTGAGTTGCTTTTTAATGTTTATCCTAAGTCTCCATTCCCCAGTTCTATGGAGCCAGCTGACCAGTTGGCAGCACCCCACAGGTGTGGCAGGCTGTCCTTCCCTTTCATTGCCTAAAAAGCCCTTGCAAGCTCAGCAGTGAGATGCATTGACATTTGGCTGTAGCATTTCTTGCTTTTCTTAGTTTGCATTTCCCACTCCTTCCAGGACCCAGCTGCCTGAGAATGAATCTCCAGCCCTTCTTATCACATAGGCATCTTTTGCCTTGATTTGTAAATGCTTGGTGCATTTCTAGTGTTGACTTAGTCAATAACTTGCAAGTACAACTATGAAACTGTATATTTACTTGAAACTTTTTAAAGTGGAATTAGGTTTTGTGGCCACAATGAAGAGAATGGAGAGAGAGAGAGATATAGATACACATCTATATAGGTATATGTATGCACAAGAGTCAACAACTTTGTGGTTTCCCTTGAGTGCCCGCAAAGGGCAAGCAGTTCTTTTGCCAGCTTCCTTGGCACTAAGATTAGTGCTAGAGACAGATAGGCAGATTAATACTTCACAAGTTAAGCTAAGGAAGTGAAAGATTTCCAATAGGCTTTTTAACCAAGTTTATTAATATGCTGTCCTAAGCATCAGAGTTAAGAAGCTATAAAACATGAAAAGATACACGGATTAGCTTCAGTATTAATGTATCCAGGCTGGTGGCAATAACTCTTGCTGTAATTCATCACAGAGTAGATGTGAAATGATATTTTCTTCTTCAAAGGGAAATGTCTGGTAGCTGTTTGCCCCTCCACAGGGGAACAACATGTAGGTGCTTCCATAGGAAGCAGGTAGTACCGAGGGAGTGATACCGGTTGGAAGGCTTGAGGAGGCAGCAGGTGATCAGTTTGTTCTGTTTGAAGTTGTGCTGTTCCTTATCACTTAACCAAGAAGTTTCTGGACACCTCTAACCAGCTGAAAAAGGATGGAGAAATGGAGCAGTTAAGGTGCAGTACAGAAAGGGACAGAACTCTTACTCCCCACAATTTCCCCAACAAGTAGTGCCACTGCACTTGACAAGGACTGGAGGCAGCACAGGAGGCACTGCCGTCAGCAGATAAACCAGCAGGAGATGAGACACCCTTGATACCACCTAACATTTGATTCTGAGGGAAAGCTGAGCTGGAGCATCCATGGGAATTCAAGGTCTGTTTTCTGAACATCAGTAAGATCAGAGTCTATCTCTGGGTAATTCAGTGTTAGGATCCTGTACCCTTGTATACAAAAACTTTTCCTAATGTGCAAGTCAAACCTCTCAAGGCACAACTTCTGCCTGGTTTACCCTCTGCATCTATTGAGAAGAACTTGTCTCCATTGTGCTTGCCTTTCAAGTACCCATGGGTTGCTACCAGCTCCTTCTTAAACTTCTCTTTTCCAAATTAAACAAGCCTGGGTCCCTAAATCTCTCCTTCCATGTCACCTGCTTCAGACCTCCAATTACCTTGGTAGTGCTCTGCAGGGCAATCTCCAGTTTTTCAATCTCTCTCTTGACCAGGGGGCCCCAGACTGGACACAGTATTGCAGGTACAGCCTCACCAGTATCAAGTAGAGGGGGATAAAAATTTCTCCCTGTTTGCTGGCCGTGATTCCCCTTGTGCAGCCCAGTACACTGTTTGCACAGTTGCACATTGTGAACCTGAAGCCCACAGTAACCCTCAGATCCTTTTCAGCTGGGCACCTGGTCAGTTGGTTCCTATTTTGTACAGGTCCACCCGTTTGCAGATCTCTGCAGCTCTCCCTGTTGACCTTCACGGAGCTGCTGTCAGCCCAGTGCTCGGGTTTCACCGGGTCCCTCTGAATTCTCCCGCAGATCGGCACAACTCAAAATGAAGATTTGCACCTCAGCATATTCCAAACACAAAGAGCAAAAGGGTAGATCAAAGAAATACTGCTGTTAGCAACAACCTTAATACAAACCCTCCTATCCTTTTGCTCGATTAGCAGGATTTCTACCAAAAATCAGCTCGTCCCATTTAGTTCTATGTAACTATGCCTAGTTACACAGTAAAAGATCTCACTCGCCTGTTCCTGTGTTGTCTTGAAACTGATGGTTACAATATTTTTTTCCCTGAAATCCTGAGGACTTGTGATGACCTGTAAATTACTATTTGCGGTGTGCTGCAGATATTCCGCACTGATGCTCACGCTTCTGTCTGATCTGATGATATTTCGACATCTCTATCCTTCTACATTTGATAGCAACTTAAAATTTTGTGGAAACCCAACTGCTTTAATTTTAGGTAGACGTGCAAACACTGCCGGCCATGTTATTTGAAAGGAATGAATGTTGTCTTAACAAACTGCTAGGAGAAGTCAGTTCACATAGCGCATCTGCTTGCCAATAGCTTTGCTGACCACATAAATTCAGTTCTGTTTGAAATGTGTTTGTGAAATCAAGTGAAGAGGACCAGTTATGCATTTCACAATGTAACTGCACAGACAAAATCGGCACTGAAGGCAGATAGCTCTCTCATTGATTTCTCTGAAAGCAGTAACAGAAAAGTATATTTCATGCATTTTGGCAGTTCTACTCCTTACTGCTATAAATACATATAGACTAGTGCCTCAAAATGCTCATATTCTTATTCCATTCAGGATCAGAGAAGAAATACCATATGGTAATGAGCACAGTGAGTGGCGATGGAAGAAATTTTTATTGTGCACCTAGATAAAATGTAATTTTTTAATTATTATAGTTGTAGTTTGACAGTATAGATAGATCTGAAGTGTAATTATCTGTTCACTTTAACACACTAATGACAGGCATGGAACTATATACTTATTTATTCCTTTCAGTTACAAGTAATTTAAACCAACTTTTTTAATAGAATAGGAAAAAGCTTTTTTTTTTTCCCCACATGAGAAAGACATATTTTTAAAGATAAGTAATAGTTTCAGGCACTTCCACTTACGTGTACCCTTCTTTCAAGACCTGAGAGTCAAAGGCTTGGAAAAAGCAGTATCTGAAGTATCCTAAATAGGGCACACCACACCATGAGTCATTTCTCAAAATCTCTCCAGAAACAGTGAAGATGACAAGACAGTGTCATGTGGGAAGTATTTTGTTACAAACAGTAGAATTGTTCTGCTTATAAAATGAGAGTATAACCCAACACGGAATAACAAAGGGGACATATCAATAACTGTTGTATTTTAACAGCTGTCTGAGGTAGCAGATGACTTTTGCCACGCATACTGTCATCTCCTGATTAGAAAGGGAGATAGATATCCATACACACAAAAGTAACACAGCAGTGACATCATGAATTTAAAAATACTCTAATAGCACAAGATGGAATTCAAGATCTAACTAAACAACACAATTGCATCATTTTCCTATTTTAAATTTGGCAAGTATGGATCTCAAATTGCCTTTTTATCTCTACTATCCTGTCCGCATGTAAGGTTTGCTTTCCACGACAGGCTATTTTAATGGGATTAGTTATAAAAGTCAACGGGAAATAAATCACTGTTTCCAAGAAGGCCTCTGAGTTTGGAATTGTTTTGTTTATCCTATTGCATCCAGTTATATCTTTCTTAAACAAAGATAAACAAAAAAAATTGAGGTAAGACTAATCAATGAGCATATTAATCCATGTTAGGCATTTCTTTCCTGGTAAGTCAGGAAAAGCCACTTTTAAAGTATTAAACTTATTAGGCAATATTACTTTTAGATGATTACTTTTGAGACATTAGTCAAGTACTGCTTTCATTTTAATTTATAAGCCGTCACTTAACTCTACCATACTTGCTCAATATTTAGATATCTGGAGGCCGATTCCGCCCCATCATTGCTGTCAGTGCAGAGTCATTCCAGTAAAGTCACTCCAGATCAAAACATGAGCAAAAGGAAAACCAGCCCTGTACATGTTTATGTTTCTTCCCATTTAGTGTATGAATAATTTTCCTAGAATTGGGTACATCTAACAAATTTTTACTGTTAAACATGATTATTTTTACTGCGTAGTGTCCTACACCCCTGGAACAATGTTAGATTGACTAGTTGTATAAAAATCTGTTTGTGTCTAATGATGCTATTTGCATATTGTAAATTGCAGGAAGTTTGGGGTTTTGATAGCTTTGCAAGGGTAACTCTACCTCCTCTTTCTGTCTTCTCATTTTCCTCCCAAAATACCACTAAATATATATTTTTTCCAACTAAATTGTTACATTTTTTGTCTGCATATGAGTTTTCTCATTGTGTCTCTGTTTCAAGATCATGACCCGCACCAGCTATGTGCCCCTGCAACAATGAAACTGTCAACAACAAGGCAGAAATGTGGCATTTAGCCCACAAAATTTGGAAGACACCCCCAAAAGAGATCATGTTGACTGTGGACATCTGTGTCTTCAAAGTGAAATGCAAAATCCACTTCTTTGATCTAGTTCTCTGCTCAGTAACACCACATTTATAAACAAACATGCATCATATAAAATAAACATTGCCTGGCTCCTGTTGAGCAGAGAGAGAAGAAGGCTCCTTCTGTGCCCATTTTATTTTTGGTAGGTGGTTGGACGCTACAGCAAAGAGACGCTTTATATAAGGACCTAGAGATGTGGAGATTTTCCAAAAGTAACAGCACATTGTGCACCGACAGTGTGGCAAGGAAGGCAGTTTTTACCATTAACGCCTTGCAATTCTAGCCACACATTCAACTGAACCCCCACCTGAAATCTGCCGATGAAAGCAGCTTTAGCTTGCACACAGCAGTGACAGGGAATGAAGATGCACATCAGGCTGATGAGCACTAAGAAGTAAATTGTTTGCCCAGATGGAAATCAATAGCTCTCTTCACTCTCTTCGTTCTTTGGCAAGATCAGGAGCTTTGGATGGCAATTAAAGCTTATCCAGCTGCCAAGTGTCGTAATTACCCACACAAGAAATCCCACAGTTCTCCTTCTACCTGAAACATCCCTTGCGCCACATTCATTAAGCTCATTACAGTCAAGCCTGCTGCTGTTGCTAGCCCTGACGTTTCTTTTTTACAAAAGAAAACAAACCCAAAATCCTTGCTTGCACCTGGCTCCACCAGTGAGCGATCCTCCCAAAGCCTGAAGGATGCTCCGCCGTGGCCACCAACCCCTGTGGGATTTTCACATAAGACCGTTCCAGGTGGCATCTTCCCTCTTCCACTCCATTTTCAACCATTTTCACTTCCCATTTTACAGCCCAGGGCATTTTCCATAAAGAAAATGCCTACTTATCTGTAGACCGCTTGTTTCTTGCACCGCGTTTCCCCACACCCTCTGGGGCCATCACTCTCACCCCTCGGGCTCGGCATCGCCGGGCATGTCTGGAGCAGCATTTGTAGATGCAGGGGTGGTGGCTGAGATGTGACACCGACTGATGGTGCATGGGATCCTGTACCCACCAGTGCCACCTCTCAATGCACCAGCAGGTACCGGCCAGGCAGGCACCTCATTATCTGCACACACCACTGAGAGCATTCAAAACGGAGCAGAGAGCTCTTTCACTCAGACATGCAAGAACTTTTCTGATTCTCTTGGAAAATAAAGCCTATCTTTTATGTATTTTGTCATTACAGTGTTCATCCATCCTTTATGAACTGAGGGAGGTCGGGATTCTAAGGGGAAAGAGCAGGTTTTACTCCCCTTTTAAGGAACAGTATAGCAAAAGTTTTTCATAGAACTTTATAATTTCTTAAATTTTCCTGGCACATTTTTGGTGCTGTATAAATAAAAGTAACTAATGGACAGCTGAACTTGAACAGTGCAAGCTCGCTAATTGCCCTTGACCAAAATACGTGTTTTTTCAGAAACCTTCAATAATTCAGATCTAAATCTAATGCAATTAGGGAGGCTGTGCAAAGCATACTGAGGAAAAAAAGGCCACTAAAAGCTCAGGCCTCTTATTTTATCATCTTGATTATCACTTTATTATCAATTAAAGTGGGAAAACCCATTAAGTACCTGTGGATCCAAGAGCAAGGACTCTAAAAAGCTCTAAAAAGAGCATCCTACTTAGCCTGACAGCTCAAGTCCACAATGCCCAAGACATTGTGCTGTATAAATCACCTTATGTTTGCACAAAATGGTTAGATTATCTTAATTAAGCCACAAGATTAGCTGGACACGGTTCAACTATATTCACCAAAGAACAAATAAGCCATGGGATACATCAAGGGAGAAAAGAAAGGGTAAGAAGAAATTCGTCATTCCCTTTGAGCCGCCCATAACCTTCCAAATTGCATGTGAGCTTCTAAGGAGGAGGAAGGTTAAAGAGAGTATTATGAACATTAAAGAGTATTAACTCTCTTTATGCTTTTTTTTTTGGGTCCCTTTGATAGCACTTTGATTCCCATTTATACTCAGCCTCTGCTGCAGTGCTCTGGAAGAGCAGAGAGGCCTTAAAGGCAGGGATAAATGAATTTACACTGCCAGAGAAGCACATGGGGGCCTTAGAGCTAATCAAAATGATCTCCATTATCAGAGAAAAAAAATAATGTTGAATAGCCTGTACGGTTGTTGATGCAAGAAATAGTTAAAAATTTCACTTCAACTCAATGCATTCTAGTTTGCCAATATTCATTCTCTTTTAATACAAATAATTCATATGCACATAAACTATAGCAAATAAAGCCTGATGGGAACTCTCCTTGAAGGAGAAAAATGCCATCTGTCCCTCATCAGCCAGGCACAAAAGGGATGCCTTGCTATTTCACAAAAGCTGCCAGTCAATTCTAGGTGTGGGATCATCCATCACAACAGGCAGCGTGCCGTCGCCCGCACTAGCGACGTGCTGTGTAATTTGCAGCGCTGTGAACATGGTTTGTAATTATATTTGATAGGGCCACAGGACGTAAATTACATAGCTTTTACATTTAGCTGTTACCGCAAATTCTTGCCTGCCATTAGCCCCTAGGGGTTTTCAGTAGGAATATGGAGACAGAGGGGGGAAAAAAAGACATGTTCTGAGCTTTTTCAGAGACTTCATTAAAAAGAAAATAATTTAGGAAAACAAATTAATAACATCTATGTGGGAAGGTTTTATTATTATTTTTGTTCTGTTGTCAGTTCAGTTGGACAACATCACAATAGGACTAGTAAGAGAAGAAAAAATTGTTACTTTTTTTTTTATTTTTTTTTTTTTACGTCTAGGGCTGGCATTATCTGGCTAGGTACGTCACAGCAAGACCAGTTTTCTTCTCCTATTTGCAATGGTTTGTAGGCACAGCTGTCAGGCAATATACTGGTCTGGAAACCAGCCCCTTAAAAACAATAGCTTATAACCTGCTATGTTCATGTTGGGTGCAATGCTTAGTCATACTTGCTGACTATTGTGACAGAGACTCTCTGGGACAAAAAGCAAGAAGGCCCCTCCTGCGGGGACGGAATTTGAGGAGACAGATGCTAATCATAGCAGAAGAATACATACCCTGTGATTCCCCTGGGTTTACTGTCATTAAGGAACCGGAGGCTGAAACGGCACGGCAGGGCCATCCTCCAGCACTGATCCCAGGGAAACGCCGGATGATTGAAGATTAGCAACTATTTAATCCCTTTTGGCCTGGAAAGAATTTAAGAGGAATGAGAAGCTTGAATCAAAACTCGAGTAAGCCTGAAGCTATCCTGACATGTTTGTGAACTAAATTCCTTCCCGACACTTTTCTATTATTTCTGTTCTTGGATCATCATTCTTTGCATGCTGGGACCAACAATGCCTTTTATTGTAGCCTGCCCCATTTTCCTCTTGCACACAAAGGAAAAGCTCCCTTGGTGAATGCCAGAGGCAAATACTGCTTTCTCAAAAAGTTACATGGGAGAAGTATGCCTTGGTTTTTGTTTGCGTACTGTAATCTGCAGCCGCACCGAGAGCGGGCTGAGTAATCCATAAATATGGCCTTTGGACTTTAAAGGTCAGCTATGCTTTTCATAATACAAAACTGTTAGCACAGAATCATCCTGGCAAAACCAAACATCAGTTTTAAGCAAGTTTTCACAAACGATCTACCATGATAAACACTCCACCCATAAGCTGCTACTCTGCAGTCTACAACAAGCAGTACCAAAACAGGAAAAAGTGATGGAGATAAGGTGGTCTTGGAAAGGTCTAGGAAAATCTATGATGTTTTTCACATACCATAGCTCGGTGAAAGAGTTTACAGAAATGCCTGACGCAGCTGAATATGAGAACATGTAGACTTCTGAAACAGGAGGCCAGCTTCGGGAAGGAGGAGCGACATGGAGAGGATCAGCTCTTGAATGAGAAGCCTTGCAGTGAAACGACAAGGGCCAGTTGTAAATAAGTGAATTACATCCGCTATTTGAGACACAGAAAAGAAGCACAAGCTATTTTGCAAATGTAATGAAAAATTCAAACTCTTTCAGGAGCTTAAGAGTATTTAAATGTAAATGAGCTTCCTTCACCCATCCCAGAATCAAGAACCACTTAGAAATAGTTGCATTATTTTCTGTTGAGTAATCATAACTTTTGAGCATCCAGCATACACCGACAAAGAGCTGTGAGCATAGTGTCTGGATTGTCTCTCATCACATAGAATGGATGTCTACTCTAAATGATGTAGCACCTTCACAGCTGGGTTTTGTGTGCATCCATTTAGATGAGACCTGTTCTCTTACACATGTGCCTGAACCCCAGCACTCACTGCAAACTTGTTATTTTTATGAAAATAAGTTAGAAATACGTAGAAAGAGTGGCATGGGGTTGCTCCTGTATGAGAGCTGCAATGTATTTTAAAATTTATGACTGGATTTGGAGCTGATGAAAGGCAATAGGTTGGCAGAGAGAAGCCAAAGTCCACCAAGCTGACAGGGGTGGTCATGGGAAGCAGCTGTCCCCAGCCCCTCCAGCAGCCACCCCCGGGGCAGCCATGCCCACATCCCTAATGGCCTCCTCCCTCCCCGGCCAGCAAGGACACAGATCAGTGCCCATTGTCACGGAGATGCCCATGTCCTGGAGGGTTTCCAGGAGACAGCAGGAGTGAGAGCAGGTAGGCAACGCTGAGCTGCACAGAGCATTCTTGTAGGACAGACTGAATCCTCACATTCCTCCTAACCCCATTCCTCCCACCCATTCATGCCAGAGGTCTCACCACCTCTCCTTCCACTCAAGCACTTGGAATGAGATAACTTTCAATTCCTCCATTTCCTTACCCCTTCTGACCTCCCAAAATGTGTCCAGGCTCCAACATTTCTTTCTCTACAACTCCAGCATGAAGTCCAGGCTGACCTGGTTATGACTAGAGTGCAGTGTCCCTTCTGCCACCTTGGCACTCAGCCACCCCACACTGCCAGCCTATAATGCTGCTTCTGAAGTCGCCTGACTCTGGGTTCCCTCAAAACTGTAGCTCCTCATGCTCCTTCATCAGGTTTGGACTTCTCAGAGCAAACCTAAAGCTGGTGGAAGCCTCCATAGGTCTTTCTGGTCTCAGTATAAATATTTTTTAGGATCTACAGAACTACTTGCTCCTCCTTTGAAAATTCAGCCCAGCTCTCTCCAGACTATAGTACCATATCTTATGTACACATCCCTGGTGCTCCTTTCAGGCTCATCCAGACTGATGTTTTCATCTCTTTTTTCTGTGCCACTTCTCCATAAGGAAATGTTTTGCTAATTCTGCTTGGCTTACCACGTCTTTTCTTTTAAATCCCTTCTCAAACCCATTCTCGTCTGCCTGCTCACAAGGCAAACAAAGTAATGCCCGCTTATTTGCATTAGCTTCTCAAGAAGTTATGTCACATTATGATATAACTTAACCTTTCTGCCAGGCGCTTGCAGGCAGGGCTTCCAAGGAATCTGGCTGGGGGACAGGACGGGTCCCCACACATGTGGGAAGGCTGAGGAGGAGCAAAACGCAGCTCACAGCTCACATGGTGGCCACCATAATCCCTATCCAGAGCTGGTGACCAGACCCCAACACTGCAGTCTGTATCTCTGGCCTCTGCTCTTCAGTCCCACTTCTGTCAGAAGCACTCAGCTCTTGGTTTTGCTTAAAGTTGGATTATTAAGCTCTGGCCAGGAAACTTGTGTCATCTCCAGTAAGAGAATTTTCCTTAAAGCACCTAGCAAATTTCTAGATGCTGCCAATTTACCAAAGGGAAGGCCATCTCTATTTCCAAACAGTATGAAAATGAATGGATTTGGCAATATTTGTTTCTAGTATTTGATAAGTGTTTACTCACTCTGATTAGGACTGACATTATTCCTATGCCCAGTTAATTCTGCAGAGCGTGATGAGCAGTTTGTATCATTTCAACTGACTGACTCTTGGACCAACTAAAAAAGCCAAAGCTGGAAGCCTTTAAGTGAGCATGTGAAGATGGAAAATAAAACAAAAGATTATAGACATTTTAAAATATTTGTGCTACTGGAACTCTACTGCAGATATCTAAATACTGAAATGCCTCACACCATGCTGCTACCCTGTTTCCACATCCAAAAAGGCACTAGAGCTCTTGTCACTGTTTCTACATTTGAAAGCGTGTTAAAGGTTGCTCTTGTAACCTCTGCAGGTTATAAAAAGGCCTATCACTAGTGAAATATGTGTTTAATTTGTATTTAAAATAATTTTTGGAAACCAGACCCAGACTTGTTTTACACAGAAGAGCACAAAGGCTTACAGCTGACATTTGCCTAATCTTCAAATTCCAATGAGCTAAGATCTTATTTTAACTTGCTTATATAGACTTCTGTTGGTAAGTGGCTGCAAAGTGATGTTTTATGTGCAGTTAATGTCTTGAAAAATGGAAGGTATCAAAGATAGTAATTACAGAGCCTGTGTTCTCCTCTGCTATGGGAGCAGCAGCGAGGAGCTGCGCCTGTGACGCCTGAGTGCATTTACGAGAAAAACTGTCACAAAGATGGAAAATGAGGGAAGTTCCAGTGGTAGGAAAGTGAGCGAGGCAGAGCGGGAAGAGGGCTCAGCATCTGCACAAGCCACACCATCGGGCAGCTCTGGCTACAGAACTGTAAGACTTGCACTGCCTCAGTAATGAAGAACAAGACAGGCCTACCAACCAGAAAAACCAATGTGCTGAAAATGGATAACAACTGGATACAAGGAAAATGTATAAATGCATGCTATAAAGCCAAGAAGAGGGGCACTGACAGCATTTAGAGACCAAATCCAGGCAATGTGACCCAGACTAGAAGCTCTTCTGAAAGCATAGGTGTGTCTGTACTTTAATACACCAAAGAAAAACATTGATTTAGGAATCACCTAAGCACATATGCTCCTATCTTCAAGCAGGTTTTTTCACTTGCAAAACAAGGGTGACAGCCCAAGGACATGTTGTTCCCCAGAAAGAAAAACTGAGTTTAAGGAGAGCAGATGACCTTTCTTCAGCCTACACAGCCCAGTGGGTGCAGGGTCCAGGGTGTAAACCGAGGGAGACTTTCCTAGGAAGAACTGAGAAGGAAGGTGAGGATAAAGTAACTGGTGGATGAAAAACTGCATGGACAGGGTGTGTTTTGGAAGCCAGCAGGAGAAGTGGGTTAGGGATGAGTACCTTCTCAAGCGTTAATATCTCTGCAGGAATCTGACCTGAAGCACAGAGTTTGGGACTAATTGCATTGCACTAATGCATTTTCTGTGTGTCCGGGGTGAAGGGAGGAAAGAAGTCAAATCCATTTCTGCAACAGAGCCAGGGTCTTTAGGTGGGACAGGCTGCCCACACCTCCCACCCGGTGCCCGGGCAGTCACCTCACAGCTCAGCACACGCAGGTACAGGAAGGAACTTGTTTTTAAAAGTCAGATGTCAAAAGGACACCTTTCTTTTATTATTATTTTTTTTTTCCCCCAAATGGAAAACTCCTTGTGCTGGAATCAAATAATTGAAAAGTTGCTGAAACAAGAGAGTAACAGTTAATCCTGCCCAAAGGGTAGATCTAAATTCTCCCTGGAAAGGCTACTGCATGAGGGATTATATACAGTGGTTAACCAAATATTCAAGGGACATTAGTAATTACCATAACATCCCACCACTTACTCTGTCAAATGCACAATTTATGCAACAAGCCCGCGACTTCAAAAGGAATTTGTTTACTTTAAAAATAGTTGGAAATACATTTCCAACCCACAGTTTTTTCCCCAATACCTTCCTGTCCCCACCTCAAAAAATGCCTGAAAGGCTTCTAGGTGTTTTGTGGAAACACCTTTCCCAGTGAATTTTCCCCCAGTGCCGTTCATTTCTACCGCGTGGCATGCCAGGGCACACAGATCCTTCATTTCCCCTCTCTCCTTGCAGAGGCACACAGGCCACCAGCGTGAGGTGGCTGCTCCCACACCTGGCCACAGGTCCAGAGTCCTCCTCCCCACCTCAGGGCATCCCCCATCAGTTTTCACACCCACAGAAGAGGGTCACAAAGCAGGTGGCTGCCCAGAGACCAACCTTTACACTGTAATTTCTTAAAATCTAAGATTTATGAAACATAACAATGCTGGAAGCAGAAATACACCAGGGAGTTGTAGACGGGTGCCAGAGGCCATCAGTTCCCACCGATCTGCAGCACTAGCACCACGGGCACCAGAGGTGAGGACGGGGGAGAGTTCACCCTCCTCTCAGCTGCCTCCCTCCCAGCTCCCAACACCGGCAGCCCTTGCCTGCGGGGATGGGCCAGCTCTTCCCCGGGAGCCAGCAGCTGTCAACGGGGAACCTCCCAGCCCTCACCCTTCCAGCCCGCGCTGAGTCAGGACCCTAAAAATAAGAGCAGCCTGGTTCCAGCCCCTGCCCTCTTTGATCTCCCGGCCCTAGCGCTGTGCTGACCCACGGCTTCTGGGGCACTCTGCCAGCCGGGCCGGTGGCCTGCCCAGGCTTGTTGTAACCTGTAGCCCCATCGCTCCAGGGACGGGTCAATTGAAAGCTTACTCTGTAAATCTGGTACAGGTTTTGGGAACTTGCTCCTTTCTTACCTACACTCTGGGAGCACCAAATACTTCTAAGGGCAAGGGATCAGGATGTGACCCTAATAATGCTGTGCTTTTATAGCAGCCCTTCGGTTTCTGACGGGCTTTATTTAAGACTGTAGAATATTTATAGTTAAATGGAACTGAGCAATAGAATAAAAATAGACTTTATATGTTAAGCCTACGCTATTGACTGACTCAGTAGTGGTAACCAAGAATGAAGTAGTGCTTGGTAATATTATTTTCCCTGATCAGTGTAGCTTAATAACCACATTGAGCTGAACTTAACTGGTCTTCTGAGCTTGTGCTCACTGCCTTCACCCCGACTTCAAATGCAGTTCACAAACCCTTGCCTGTCCTGGGTAAAGGCAGGAGCTCGCTGCTCCT